GTTTTCCGGACGAGGCTCGTAATTCAAGCATCCAATCCAAGCTATTTCCACTTCAAGTAATATGATTGCCCGCATATTTTCATTCATAAAATGATAAAGAAAATTAAGATAGGATTGAAGGGTAGAGCAAATAAAAAAGTATATAGCACTACTAGTACTTGTAATAGCAACTTTGAATAAAGTGAAGAAATAGAAAGAAGAATGGAAGAAATAAAAAGAATTAAAAAAAGAAAAAAGAAAAGAGACAATGGAAATTAATTTAAGAGAGATAGATAGATGGTTTAAGAGAGAGTAAGTGAATCTTGCTTAAAGGGAAAGAAGAATAAGAGAAATGAGAAGAAAAAAAATTGAAGAAAGAAGAGGGGCCAAAAAAAAAGAAAAAAAGAATAGAAAAAGTAGAAAATGGAATAAAAAGAAAGAAAGAAAAGATACACTCCAGTAGAGAGTCAATTAGTGAGAGGGAGAAAATAATGTAGGTTAAGATCCTTAGTAATTGTGCTCATTAGAATAATAAATAAGGGAGACCATAGTAATTATGCAAAGAGTTATGTTACGAATCTCAAATAAATTATTAAATTTTTTATCAAATCTCTCACATGAGTGTGGAACTCACACAATAAATACTCAAGAGAGACTTAGTGCAATTTACCTTTTAATCTTTGTATTGCAAGAAATAAATGATCAAGGGTAATTTTGACTTTTTAACAGCAAAAGTTGCTGACTTCATCTCATTCTATTAAATATTCTAACAGATAGATGATAGAAGAAGAAATCTTGATAATAGTTTCAAAAGTATGAGATGTTAGTGTAATTATTGAAACTATAGGGTAAGTCTCTATAATTGTTAGAAACATCAAGAGAGAAGTGTAATTTATCCAAATAAAATTTAAAATTCTCTTTAGATTATAAATTTGAGAAAAAAAATATTAAAAAAATGTGAATAAAATACAATGAGATATAACCTTTTCATATAGAATGTGATCACAATGAGATCCACTTCATTTGAAGAAAATATGTCTGATTTTCTAATCAAATTATGCATTTAGAAGAACAACAATGATTCATCCCCCTTTTTTCCCCCACCCCCTTTGACCCCCTCTCTCTCATTGGTTACATTTTCTTTTTCTTTTTCTTTTTTTTCCTGCTCCTCCAATCACCACCCGCCACGTGACAAGGGGGTGAGGGGGTGACCCCGAAAGAATGGTTCGATTTTATTCACTCAACTTATTTGACAAATGAACATATTTATGTGATTTGTCCTTCCATTCAGATCTATTTCTTTAAACTCCACTTAAAATAGTGGATTTCTGTAAAAAAAACCAGTCACATAAGAATTTACCTAATCAAGTGGGTAAACAAATTTATTTTTAATAATTTTATAATAATCATATTTTCTTACTACAAATATAAATAATAAGGCATGTTAAATAAATATAGTATTGACACATAAAATAACTGATTCTTATAACATTATTGTTTGTTTTATGGTCAATGGAATATTTTGAGACCTCAAACGAAGCATGATTTCATTTTATTTAGGTTTATTTTTGGGTTTGTTAGTTTTTTTTGCGTATTTTTGTCTTTGGTGAATTTTTTTTTTTTTTTTAAAAAAAAAAAATTAGATTTCTAGATTCAACTCGACAAAACGAACTAAAAAATTATAATTTTTAAAAAAATTCCAAAATAATCCATAAAAGACAAAAATAGCAAAAACAAGCAATATATTTTTGGCTTATTTTGATTTTTTTCAGTTTTTTAAAAAAAATTTAAAAAATACTTTTTAAATTTATCTTGACAAGACGGATTGGAAAAGTAAAAAAAAAATTAACACAATTAAAAAAAATCACTAAATCAAAAAAAATTAAAAAAATAAATGTGTGCGTTTAGTTTGAGCTTTTTGAATTAAGTTTTTTGAAAACTGTTTTTTATTTTTTGTATTTTTTTGTTTTTAGTAAATATTTTTTAAATTTTAAGTATTTTTTTTTTACTTTTTTAGATGCAATTTACTTAGATGTATTTAAAAAGTAAAAAATTTTTTTTATATATTTTTTTTATTTAGTGAATTTTTAAAAGATTTTTTTCACAAAAATTATACTTTTTATGTGTAATTATGTTAAGTGTGTCGAAAAATTTAAAAAATTATTTAAAATATTAAAAAAATCAATAAAAATTAAAAAAATACGAAAAATAAGAAGGTAAAATTTTTTGAAAAATATTTTTAGAAAACCAATAATGAGCAAAGTGAATAACTTTATTTTTTGAGTTGCCAAAAGATTAATAGATTTTTTTTTGGGAAATTTTGTGTGTTAAATGATAGAGTAAGATCTCGTTTATCAATTATATATTTTAGTTAAAATATCAAAAAATTATTATAAATTATCATATTATTTTTTTTAATTTTTTATAAAAATAATTTTTTATAGTTTGGGAAGTTTGTTTTGGTGGGTTAGGGGTTAAAATAGCCACAAAAAACAAAATAGGCTACTTTAGCCACAAAAAACAAAACATCAAATTTAACTCATAATCATTACATTCCTCTCTCACAAAAAAAGTCAAAAAAGTCAAAAATCCTTTTCAAATTAGGCTTTTTAGCCCCAAATTAAAATAATTAAAAAATTAAAAAGTTAAAAAATCAACCTACTTTTCAAGCGAAGACATATATTTTTATAAAAAATTAAAAAATTATGAAAATAAGATGCCTGGCTTAATGCCTAAACAGGCTAATAGTGAGTCAGCTATACCTGTCCACTTGAAATTCCCTTTGCAAAAAGCTGCTACTTTCCCACATTACCAGAAATGTACCGTTTTGGGTTGAACCCACAGCAAAGGAACCAGTATACCCCTTTCGTTAGAGGGCACGTGCCAAGCGAATCAAGTACATGTTTCCTAGTTGGGTTTTAGTTTTAGAGTCATGCCCTTCAATGCATCTAAGAAACAGTACACGGGTTGTTACGGAATCAAAAATCTTTTTGCATAGACCATATACATGTCAATCGAACCGCATGAACTTCCCAAACTAATAAAAACACTAGATATTAGTATAGATGTTATTGATTTGACCTATCTTAATTTATTGAGTAAGAGATAAAATTAATCTCATTTATTATCTTTTTGTAACTTTGCAAGTAGTTGAAAACACTACACGTAAATATATATAACGTTTGATTTTTTTTAATTTGTCATATTAATTTGAGAGAATGTTTAGATTTAATAAGCTCATTTTGAGATTAATTTTGATAATTTGAATCGTTTAATTTTTAAAACTCATTAAGTATAATATTCATGTAAAAAATCAAAATGATTGAACATTAACTATATATTGAATCATATTTTTTTTTTATAAAAATAAATGTCAAATATAATTTTGAGAGTAACTATTTATGTTTTATAATATAAATTTGATTCAAACATATAGTTATCGATATCTGATTATCTTGATTTTTGACATAAATATTTTACTTAACAAGTCTTACAAAATGAACTATTTAAATTATCGAGATTGGTCACAAAATGGGACTACCAAGTTCAAACTCTGTTAAATCGAACACAAAATCACACATAATTCCATCTTTTTATAGATCTCAGACGTATATAAAAAAATTTGTATATAATTCTGCCATTAATTTCTCTAGAAGTAGAAAGATAGTTATTTTATTATCTCTCAGACAAAATACAAAGAAAGTTACCATAAGGAGCTTTCTTAACAGAGTTTCATATCATGGGGATTTGAATTAAAACAAATCATGAAAATTAGGGCTTCATTATGGGCCTCTTGATCTTGCTACATGGGTACATGCATAACCTTCGAAAACTGTTTTTGTTTTTTCTCTTTTAAGATCTTGCAACTGAAAACATTTTTTTGCATTGCACACTTTGAGTTTAACGTGTTTATACTGCACTAGTAGTAGTAATCGTCGTCCTATATCTTTATGCAAATGATGAGTTTTAGGTTAGTTCAAAACTTCAATTTGATTTTTGATATTTTATTTTAAATTTAAAATTTTCAGATTATCTTTTCTTCACATACCGTGGGCTGGCTGGTCACTACAAGACGCAAACTTTATTCCAAAAGTTGCAAATATTTTTTTTGCATTGACAATTCCATTTCGATAGTTTCAAACTACTTCATTAATTTTATTTTTACTAATTTACTTAACAAGTCTTACAAAATGAACTATTTAAATTATCGAGATTGGTCACAAAATGGGACTACCAAGTTCAAACTCTGTTAAATCGAACACAAAATCACACATAATTCCATCTTTTTATAGATCTCAGACGTATATAAAAAAATTTGTATATAATTCTGCCATTAATTTCTCTAGAAGTAGAAAGATAGTTATTTTATTATCTCTCAGACAAAATACAAAGAAAGTTACCATAAGGAGCTTTCTTAACAGAGTTTCATATCATGGGGATTTGAATTAAAACAAATCATGAAAATTAGGGCTTCATTATGGGCCTCTTGATCTTGCTACATGGGTACATGCATAACCTTCGAAAATTGTTTTTGTTTTTTCTCTTTTAAGATCTTGCAACTGAAAACATTTTTTTGCATTGCACACTCTTTGAGTTTAACGTGTTTATACTGCACTAGTAGTAGTAGTCGTCGTCCTATATCTTTATGCAAATGATGAGTTTTAGGTTAGTTCAAAACTTCAATTTGGTTTTTGATATTTTATTTTAAATTTAAAATTCTCAGATCTTAGTCCCTATTATCTTTTCTTCACATACCGTGGGCTGGCTGGTCACTACAAGACGCAAACTTTATTCCAAAAGTTGCAAATATTTTTTTGCATTGACAATTCCATTTCGATAGTTTCAAACTACTCCATTAATTTTATTTTTACTAATTATGATCAGTCAAATCAATAAAATAAAGTTAAAAATTTTATCTTGTCAAAAGACTTATCTTATCAAAAAAGTAAAATATTACAACATTAAAATTCACTTCTTGCCGACCAACCGTAAGTTATGAAAACCAAATTTAACGTGATGATTTGGAGAACCGAATTTTCCCTAGAAATATCAACAAGAGAGGTTAAACCCTAGGGCTTACTAGTAAAGTCCAAACACAAAATGTCATAAAAACCCACCACCACTTCATTCTAAACCCCTCCTCCCCCAAACCTCTCTCTCTCTCTCTCTCTCTCTCAATGTGCCAGCTACCTGACTCTCCTGTCTCTTGCAGATGCAACTCTAACCAAACTTACCCAGAACCCAACATGTACTTCACTCCTTTGATACCCAAAAGCCCAACATCACAAGAAGAACAAAAACAAATCCAAGAACAACTGCCCCAAAAAACCAGCCATCTCTCTCTTGCCATTAAAGAAGCCAAATCCACAGCCAACATAGCTTTCCCCATGATCCTCACAGGCCTCTTGCTCTACTCTCGCTCCATGATCTCCATGCTCTTCCTCGGCCGCCTAGGCAACCTTGCCTTAGCCGGTGGCTCTCTCGCCGTGGGCTTCGCCAACATCACTGGCTACTCCATCCTCTCCGGCCTAGCCATGGGCATGGAACCCATTTGTGGCCAAGCTTTTGGCGCCAAAAAACACACCCTCCTCGGCATTTCGCTGCAGAGGACAGTTCTATTGTTATTCTTGTCATCTTTCCCAATAGCTCTTCTATGGCTTAACATGAAGACAATTCTACTTTTCTGTGGTCAAGATGAGTCTATAGCTTCAAAAGCCCAATCATACCTTCTGTATTCACTTCCAGACCTCTTAGCTCAATCTCTTCTTCACCCATTACGAATCTATCTCCGAACACAATCTATAAACTCACCTGTAACAATCTGTGCAACTCTAACAACCATTCTTCACATACCCATCAATTATTTTCTTGTTTCCAAGCTTTCTCTTGGAATCAAAGGCGTTGCTCTTGGTGGTGTTTTGTTTAACCTCAACCTCGTTGCTTTACTGATCATATACATAATTTTCTCTGGAACATATAAACAAACATGGAGTGGGCTATCCATGGAGTGTCTCAGAGGCTGGAAATCACTCATGAATTTGGCGATTCCGAGCTGCATTTCCGTGTGTTTGGAATGGTGGTGGTACGAAATCATGATTTTGCTTTGTGGGTTGTTGATAAACCCCAAATCCACAGTTGCTTCAATGGGTATTTTGATCCAAACAACCTCATTAATCTACATATTCCCATCTTCTCTGAGCTTCAGCGCATCGACCCGAGTCGGAAACGAGCTCGGCGCAGGAAATCCAGCAAAGGCGAAACTCGCCGCCATTGTAGGACTCTGTTGGAGCTTCGTATTGGGTTTTTCAGCTCTGGTTTTTGCAGTACTAGTGAGGAATGTTTGGGCCACAATGTTCACTCAAGACAAAGAAATTGTGGCTTTGACATCGCTTGTTTTGCCGATAATCGGACTCTGCGAGCTCGGAAATTGCCCACAAACTACTGGGTGTGGGGTGTTGAGAGGGTCGGCGAGGCCGAAGATCGGAGCGAATATCAATCTGGGGTGTTTTTATTTGGTGGGAATGCCGGTGGCGATTGGGTTGGGGTTCGCCGGAGGGTACGATTTTGAAGGGTTGTGGATGGGTTTGTTGGCGGCGCAGAGCTCGTGTGTGGTGGCGATGTTGGTGGTTTTGGGGAGAACAGATTGGGAATTACAGGCGAAGAGAGCCAAAGAGCTGACTGACGGAGGTGGTGGTGGTAGTGGTGATGAAGAAGAGGTGTGCGAAGAAATTGAGGAAGATGAGGTGGCACTCAAAGGTGAAATCACGGATGATTCTTCTTGTTTGCTTGGTGATTTAGTTTAAAATAATGTTATAGATTTTAAAAAATTTATTAAATTTGTAATTAAATGTTTTATATAGGTGTTATATCATATAAGATCTTTAATAAAAAATTTAAAATAATATATTTAATAAAACTTTCAGTACTTCTATTATTTTTTTTGTTAGTTTAATTACTTATTTAATCCTATCCAAATTTTTTGTTTCCTTTTTTTAATAATTTTTTCCCGAGTAAAACTATTTGAATAGAAAACCATTCACAGAATGATTCACGTACCAGACACAAATAGGAATGGGACCCCTAAGCCTCCGTCTGGGAAGTGGGTTCCAAAAGTTAAAAGTTAATTTTTTAATTTTTTATGATTTTTTTTAAAAATGTGTAAAAATAAAAGAAATGATGTGATTTAAAATGAGTAAAAAGTTAAAAAGTGACTTTTAATTTGCTTTTCAAAATAAATCAAAATAGGTTTAAAAATTAATAAGATAAAATGTCACATGTAAATCATAATTATTTTATTTTTTCTTTTACAAAAGTAAAAAAAACTAAAAAAATCTATTCTAAACAAAACTTTTTAGCCCAAAATAAAATAATTAAAAAATTAAAAAGTTAATCCACGTCCCATGCGAACACTTAACATATAATAATTATTCTAATAATCAATAAAATTTGAAATGCATTTATATCTATTTCAAATCTATCTTGTATTATATAGTGATGTGTTAGACCTTCGGTACCTTCCAAACTAACTACTCATCCTAATTTTGAGAGAAAGTTCACAAGACACTCCCACTACATGACAACCGCCTCCTTCCCCTTATTCTAATTTTCAATATTTTTATAAGCAATTAGATTTTAGAAAAAAATTCACGAAAAATTCACCACATTAGTGGTTCAAATTTTAATCTTTGTTAGTCATATGGATATAGGCATGGCACTTTGTGAGTGGTAAATCCAAACATAAGGAACCTCGGCCTCATTTGATAACATCTAATTTTAATTTAAAAGTCAAAAAATTATTTAAAAAATTAAAAAAAAAAAAAGCCAACAAATTACTCCAAAAAGTCAAATGTTCAATTTTATCTTTACTCTTTGCATATTTTTTCGTAAAATATATTTTACATTTCAAAATGGGGGTCTAAAAAATAAAAATTAATGATCTTGTTTGGTTTGTGTTTTGAGATATTATTTTAAAAATAATTTTTTTAGAGAATTTAGAAAATTTATAAATTTATTTGGTTATATATATTGAAAATAGTTTTAGAGTTTTGAAATTTGGAATGATTTGATATATATATATATATATATTTTTGTAATTAAATGGACAAGTGTGAGAAAAAAAATGATTAAGAAGAAGAGATGAGAGAGAAAAAGTGATTGATTGATGTGTGGTAGAGAGAAAAGTGATTTTGAATTTTTTTTAAAAATATTTTCAACCAAACATATTTTTGGAATTTTTTTTCTTCAAAAACATGTTTTGAGAGATAAACCAAACATATCCAATGTGTCTCACATCACAATAAATTTAAAATTGTAACACATTTCATTTTTAACAAATTTTAAAATATTTTTTTATGAGAAAATTGTAAATCAATAAGACGAAATGAAAAAAAATATATATAAAAATATAGAGGTGCAAGTGGATGTAACATTCACTTGTATGTGGTGTTTTGGAAAGTTAGTAAAAATTTGATTTTTTGACTTTTTTGATGGTTTTTTTGTAACTTTTTTGTATTTTTTTTTTGGTAAAAAAGTTAAAAAGTCCAAAAGCTGACTTTTTACCAAATTTTCACTTGCCCCCCAACAAAAATTTAATTTTTTAAAATTCTTTTTTGACTTTTTAATTAAAAATATAATCATAGGAAATATAATAATAAAAAAAAATTGGATAAGAGAGCCAACAACCAATTTGTACTATGCATACACTCTATATTAATAAATATGACCAAGTACGAAAATAACCAACCACCATTTTGTTCTATGCATTGTCAAGGTAGGTAACAATTCAAATTGCAATCTTATATAACAATTGTCTCAGGACAATATGAAAAAGACTTAAAAATATATATAACAAATGTCTCAAGGACACAATACCTGTTTTACTAATTTTATACTCATTTTATAACTTGTTTATCATTTTCAAGATACTTTTTATATTAATTTTAACATTAAATAATGCATAAAGGGACATTTATTAATAATTGTCTAAATGAAGTTACCATTTTCAATAAAGATAGAGAGGCGCATGAATTACAACTAAGTAAACTTTTGATCATGTCATGTTCTATGAAGACAATAGGCACATGAAAAATGACAATAAACTTTCCATCTTCACATAATTAATAAGGTATGAGTACAAAATCAACTGTATAATCAATCATATAAAACATAATTTAAATCAATTTAAGTGAAATTGTATCTTTTATGATGGGTTAATAATATGTATGTTTAAGATTGTTTTGTAGGATTGATTTTATAGTTGTTAGTTGTATGATGCTTAGGCCTCGTTTGGGAAGTGACCGGTTTAGCGAAAAAATAAAAAAGCCAACAATCCATACGAAAAAGTCAAAGATTCTTTTTTCTCTTTACTTTTTACACATCTTTTCATAAAAAGTCAAAAAGTCATCCCAAACATACTAATTTTTTTTACATCACATTTTAGCTAAAAAAGTCAAAAAATTACTAAAAAAGCATGTTCCCAAATGAGGCCAAGTTGACATAATTTGTTACGAAGTAAGCTTTTTCCATGCAAAAAAAAAAAACAAAAAAACAAAAAAACAAAAGTTGGCTTACTTTTGAGTAATATTAGGATCATGAAAAAAAATATCATGCAATGTTTCATGAAAATTTTTCATCTCTTGATTAGTGTATAGTGTTTGAAGAATGCTAGGTATCATGAAAAACCTTTCATGAAAATAATCATAAAAACTTCGTGACCCTTAGATTACACTTAAAATAAAGCACCACACACTAATCAAGGTAATCCAAGGATCATAAATTTTTCATGATCATTTTCATGACAAAATTTTCATGATGCCTAACTTTTCCCATAGTGTTTTTTTATATGTGTAATTTAATGATAAAAAATATTTTATGATTATTTTCATGATATTTTTTTATGATACCTAACATTACTCTTTACTTTTTGTAGGCTTTTATGTTGGTACTATTTGAACAAGGATTGTGTTAATGACCGTCTTAAAGGCCATTAATAAGAAACACAGAATGTGAAAAGATTTATAATCTGAATTAAATTTTCACAAATCTTGAAATTCTTTTACAAGTTTTTATACATTTTAACACCATTTTTTTTTGCACATTTTTCAATACTAACAATAGTCATAATGCTGTTTATGATTCAAATTGTTTATTTTTTATGGTTCATAAAAAAAATTATTCATACAAAAAATCAAATTGATATTAGTAATCACATGATTAGATAAAAAAATATGCACTAAAACGACATTATAATTAAAATCAGACTTTGCTGTCTATTTGTTTTTTGTCATATTTTTTGATTTGATTATATAATTATTGATATTTAATTCATTTGACTTTTTTAAATAGATAATCACCTTAATAAATCTTACAAAAAAATAATTTAAATTATTAAAGTGGGCTCAAGATAGGCGCACCATAAACTAACAACACTCTCCAATTCATTGATACAGTGTGTTTAGTTTTAGTTTTTTAAATTCAACTTTTTAAAAATTAAGTTTTTTATTTTTGCATGTTTTTTATTTTTTTGTTTTTAGTGAATATTTTTAAAATTTTAAGTAATTTTTTACATTTTTAGATACACCTTACGTAGATGTATTTAAATGGTGAAATATTTGTGAAAACATATTTTAAAAAATTAATAAATACATAAAAATATGAAAAATGTACTAAATTTTCATATTTTTTTAATGTATTTTTGTATTTAATGATTTTTTTTCATAAATATTATATTTTTTAAGTGTATTTATATTAGGTGCGTGTAAAAATTAAAAAAATTACTTAAAATATTAAAAAAAATTCATTAAAAACAAAAAAATACGACAAAATAAAAAAGTAAAATTTTTTAAAAAATATTTCCTAAAAACTAAAGCCAAATAAACTGATGGTTGTATTTTCTCTCTGTGGTCGGTGTGTTCATGTCCTCAAATAGAATAGGGTGTGGGGTTGTTACTGTGCTCAATGGACAACAAGTGTTGTGCTCTCGCGATCAACTTCATTCCGTGTACACTTTAATTATTCCAACCATTTAACTCGTAGAATTTATTAAGTAATTATTTGAGTAAAAAAATTAAATTAGTTAAATATTAACAGTGATATGATTAGTTAATATTTGTCTTCAAAATAATAGATAATCTACTTTTAAAATTATATTTGTAATTTGTTTTTTATAAGACAAATATAATCTGATTATGTGATTATTAATGTTTGATCGACTAGATATTTTGTATGAATAATCTATTTCACGTGTTCTACAAAATAAATATTTCAAATTTTATGACCAATTTATGCATACCTCGACTAAACCAACGCCCAAAGTCAGTAGACATGGTAAACCTCCAAGAGATTCTTGCTGGGACTTGAATTTGATATTTTAGTTTTTAACCTTAAGTTTTTACCATTTGATAACGCAAATCCTCATAATTAAAAATGAAAAACTAAAAATACCATTCTCTAATTTCAAGATAATCAACTTTTCTTAGTTTATTGAAAAAACTATTTGTGCCTAAAGAAAATAAACTAAAAATTTGATACATACTTTTAAAATATATATAAGGAAACCCAATAGTACACACCCTCATATGCACATTGTTACATGTTTTTGTGGTATATTACGTATTTTTATGATAAATGTTACATATTTTTTAGTAAGAGTTACGACAATTTGTGGTTGAGAAATGAAGTTAAGTATTTTGTGATAATGTTATATATTTTTTTATTCAAACATTTTCTAACTACAAAATATGTAACAATATCACCACAAAATACGTAACATTATCATAAAATTACGTAATTTTATTTTATAACCACAAATTATTGTAACTCCTACTAAAATAATATGTAACATTATGGCAAAAATTAAT